GCCGAGAGGTAGCGGAGAGATAGCCGAGAGATAGCCGAGAGACAGCCGAGAGGTAGCGGAGAGATAGCCGAGAGATAGCCGAGAGACAGCCGAGAGACAGCCGGGAGATAGCAGAGGTAGCAGAGGGGCCTGGCACCGCCGCGACCTCCCCTATACACCTACACCCCGCCACTACCTCACCCGTTCCTGCCTTATACCGCTTGCCCGCCGCACACCGCCCTCGCGCGCTCAGGCGGACGACTCTGCCGGCGGCGTCGGCGCTTGGGTCGCCTCCTGGTTCTGAGAGCCGAACACACACGCGCGCGCCGCACGCGGCGTCTACCCTACTTAGCGTCTCCCTTCCCCCGCCTCACCCCGCGCCCTCTCTCGCCTTCTCGTTCTCTCCTGCCTGTGGCGACCCCCCGACCACTCTCGGTCTCTGTGGGGTCCCTGACTTTCCCTGCTCCGCACACCTCTGAAGGCCTAAACTCGTGAGAGCCCCCACACGCGGAGAGAGTACCGTACGCGCAGACCGCTGAAACCGGTGCTATAGAGAGATGATCGAGCGTGTTGTGTTGTTCTTCTACTGTGCCGGCCACTTTTGGCCTGTGCGCTGTCTGTGGCTGTGCGTGTTTTACTTTGTTTGTTGGTGGCAATGCCCAAAATGCGAAACACACCGTCACCGATCCAGGTTCCAGGTTCCAGGACCAGGTTCTGGTTCAGGATCGAGGATGAGGAATGTCAGGCATCAGCGCCGCGCCGTGTGCGTGTGCGTGTCCCCGACGCCGTGTGCGTGATCCTACTTTAGTATGAGAGGTCATCTGGCTACCGCGAGAGCGACCCAACTCGTCGACATCGTCCGATGATTGTGCCTCAAAGTCAGCCTCCGGCGAGGCTATCGTGGGGTCGAGCCGGCAGTAGCCGTGACATGTGGTTCCACCACCCCTCGTAGGCTTTGCCTCTGACCGCCACCGTTCCCAGGCTGCCTAATGGGATGTAAAGGAAGGCTGGGCGAGCGTATAGAAGCGTGCTCGACCTTGTCGTGGCAGCCTGCACGGCAGCGCTGGCAGGCGCGATGAGCGTCGTGCCACCTGACCCGAGACGGGTCGCAGGCGTCGTACTGAGCGCGTCGAGACCGTGTCCTGATGTGATCTGCACGAGTGAGTCACGTCGGCGTCAAAGGAGCGACGTGCGACCTGTCAGAGCTTGATCTCCGATCTCTCAGCGGCGTCGACTCGTCTCCGGCGCGCGACAAAGGTACATCCCCAGGACGCGCAGAGGCAGCTGCGACCCAGCCGGCCTAGAAGGCCCGCGCGCAGGGGGGTGGGGCATTGAGACCGGTCATGAATGAGTGCGCGACACGCATGTTGCGCGCAGCGTTGTTGATGTTTTGCGCGTCGCCATTTTGCGCGTCGCCACAGAGCTGTTGCGAGTGGCGCGCGAGAGCTGTTGCGAGTGGTGCTGGGCGAAGCCCCGGGCGCTGCCGGAGGCTGTGCCGTAGTCGGTGTGGTCGACGTCGCTCGGGCTGCCGACCTCTTTGGCGAAGTTGAAGATGATTCTCTTGGTTGGCGGCGCGATGCCGCCCTGGCTTTCGACGAGACAAATTTTGCACACCTGGCAACCCTGTCTGCACGTCTCGCGCGCGCGTGAACAGGGCTCCAGGCCCCAAATGACGTGTGAGTGTTAGAGTTGTTTGGTATTGCTAAAAATCTCTCTCTCAAATTTTGACGATTCCGTTCTTGACATGGAGCGCGTCGTAGTACTGTCCCTTGTGCTCTTTGACCCAGCCTTTGCCGGTCGCATGGACATGCGGGCCCTGTGACTTGTGGCCGCGCTTTTTGCACCCAAGAACCTTGAGCAAGGTTTGGTCGAGGGTGCCGCCGAAACCAAATTTGTGGCCCAGTGACGCACAGCATCCGCCGTGTGCTGCCGAGCCCTGCCCAGCCTGCCTCGTCTTTGTGAGGGCGCTCTGGGCACCTTGACTTCGTAGTGGACATCGCGCTGGGACTGCAGGTCCCCGCCGATCTCACACATGTACATGTCGGTGACGTGCCCCTCGTTGAGATGAAAAGTCGTCTGAGGGTTCGCCTTGTCACCGAGCACGAGCTTGCCGCAGGCTCGTGCACGGACCATGTTGGCCGCCGCATACACGGTGCCGTTGTGACGAATGTTGTGCTCGCACGGAATGTCCTTCGATCCGTTTGCAAGCTGGTCGCCCTCCCGCATACCGATGGTGACTGTCTCACTAGCCGCCTCCTTGGCGTCGTACACGTACTTGGCGCTGGAAATGTAGTAGCCGTGGCGGCGCTGTAGTTCACAGTGAAATGGAACGCTCTGAGGTTCGACTTCGAGCCAGTGCGGCAGTGCGCGGAGTGGGGCTGGGGTGGGCCTCTGGCAGAGGCTCCCTGACAGTGGGGCCATCTGGCGGCCAATACTCTTTTATGTGAGAGAGCATGCGACTTACGATCGAGTTTGTTTTGTCTCATTGGATACACTGCGGCGATCGCCTACAACGCCCTCTCCGCAAGCGCGCCCTGGCGTGTTTTCTCCGCTTTCTCCCTTGTCTTGCCTCCACATGATGGAGGGGTTATCAATCATTCTGAGGGCAGCTCGTTCACCGCCGTCGAAGCTCGCAGTCCAGCACCTTGCCGTCGCCGCCGCCGCAGAGGCTGCCCGTCGAGTTGCCAAAGATCGCCGCCTCAAAGTCGAGCCCGCTTCCGCGCGGAGTGCGCGTCAGGTAGAGCTTGAGCCAGGCGGCTGCAAAGTAGGCTAGCCTCGGGTTGTAGTCCGTGCCGCTCTGGGGCTCGTGGTGCGTGGCGCCCACCTTGTTGACCAGGCCCCGGACGGGCCAGGCGCCCGGCGCGTCGAACAGCGCCTTGGACCACGCCGGCGGCGCCGTGTCCTCCGCCGTGCCAGTAAAGACGAGGAACGGCACGCGCAGCGCGGGGTAGGTGTGCGTGAAGGGGTGTAGCAGGACGGCCGCGCTTATGTTGTGGGAGGAGGAGTTGCGCGCCGCGCTGAACGCTGTCGCCTGGCCTCCCATCGAGTGCCCAACCACACCGTACCCTGCAGAGCGGTTTATCGGCAGGGCCATGGCGTCGCTGCTCCGCGAGGCCCACTCGAGGTTGAGCAGCTGCTGCTTGTAAAAGTCTCCAAAGCAGGGCGGGTCCCACGGCAGAGACTTGCAGTCGGAGATGCAGCCGATGATGCAGGAGCGGGCAAAGCCGACCACGAACCCGTATGATGCGAGGGCTGGTCCGAAATCTGCGTAGTCCTCGACACCGCCGTGCTGATCCCATCCCACGTCGTCGCCAAAGCCATGCGCAAAGGCGATGTAAGGGAAGCGCTCGTCGGATGCGCCGACCGGGATGACGACGTCGATGTTCGGACCAGTGAAGTCGAGCGACTCGACCTGAAACTTCGCCTGCCTGACTTGGTAGGGGCCGAGCGACCACGACCACACGGCAGCACAGGAAGGAGAGCATGTTGTTGGCGCTCGGCAAAGTAGGCGATCGCAATGCTGACACGCTGTCGGCATCACCGGTGGAAGTTTATCTCAACACCGCGCAGGATCTCTTCTGAGAGGACCCGCGCGCGCATGCACATGCACATGTACATGTCGGTAGGCTGTAAGGTAAGGTAAGGTAAAGGTAATGCCGGCACTGGGTGATAGCGTGGGTGATAGCGGATAAGGTAAGGTATATAAGGTTAGGCAACTGTGCACAACTGTGCATGTTCATGTGCATGTGCATGTGCATGTGTAGGAAAGCGGGAGCCGGGACCCACACATGCATGACATGTACATGTGCATGTCGCACGGCCCTGCACGCACGGACGACAGTGAGGGGCCTGGCGCGAGGCAGCCGCGTCCTCTACGACCACGGCAGCTTGATGCCCGCGAAGCCGTCGCCGCCCGCCCCCTCCCCCTCCCCGAGGTACGGGTACGCCTCGCGCATCTCCTCCATCGACAGCGTGGGGACCGTCCCGCCGACGAGCGGAAGCCGATTGCTCTCGAGCCACGCCTATAGGGTTGTACGCGCCCCGACACGGCTCGGGGAGGGAAGGCCGTCCGCACGCACCGCCCGCCGCGTGCTCCCGAGCCGCGCCTCCATCTCCCCGGCCGCCAGCCGCTTGTACACCAGGTAGCCTCCCGCGCCGACGCCGGCCGCCGCGTCCACCTGCAGTGAAGGTTCCGGGCAGCGTCCGGTAGCCTCCGCGAAGAGGAGAGGCGCGCTTTGCGTGTCCGCAGCGTAAGCCTTTGCGACTCGCACCGCGCCGTCGGCGGTGATGCAGACGTGCCTAATGGTCGATAGAGCTCGTTCACAATGGAGAGAAGCGACGTCGCCCGTGATGGAGATGGGCCTCGTCGTCGCCGTCGCGCCGGCAAACTCCTTGGAGCTGCGCTGGCCTCCGAGGTCTGCGTCGCCGAACCGCTCCTGCATCAACGCCCCCGTCGGGAGAGGAATCTCGGGTAATCTCCGGTACTCTCGGGTAATCTCGGCATCGCCGCTCCTGCATGAAAGCCCCGTCGGGAGAGAAGCCGTACTCGCCGCGCAGCTCGTTGAGCAGCACCGGCCGCCTAATCTCGGGTAATCTCGCGTAATCTCGGGTAATCTCGCCGCGCAGCTCGTTGAGCAGCACCGGCCGCCCGAACAGGCGCAGCACCTCCTTAGCGCAGACCGCGCCGCCGCCGTAGCAGTAGAAGAGCGCGGCCGGCGAGGTGAAGGGCGCGCCGCCCAAGCCCGTCAGCCCCTTGCGCGTGTTGAAGTCGGCCGAAGTGCAGCCCACCTGCTCCCAGGCGCCCGCAGCTTGCGAACCGAGCCCCAAGGGTAAGGTAAGGTAAGGTAAGGTACACTTCTCTACACACACACACGAGGTGGAGGGGGAAGGGGGGGCGACCCTCGCGTCTCCACGTCTAGGCGACAGGAGCCGCACGGCATTGAAAGTGCAAGGCCCAGTGCGCGTGGGTGTGTGTGTGCCCCAAGGGTAAGCAGCAAAGTCGACACACGCCTGCTCCCACGCGCCCTCGAGCCGCGGGTCCTACAGAAGCGCTCCGGGGCAGGGTCCCGGAGAAGAAGGCTCCCGCCGCCTCCCACGCCCCTCTCACGGCCGCGGGGCCTCGCGCAGCGAAGGAGCAGGCGACAGCGCCGTCACCTGCTCCAGGCGCGCGCAGGCTGCGTCCAGCGCCGCGATCTCCTTCTCGTCCGCCTGAGTGAAGAAGAGGTCCTCTCTCAACGCGTGGCGGGGCCGTCAGTAGCGCCGCTGCGTGTGCCCCGCCTAAGTGATGAACGGGTGCCTCGCACAAGGGTACTGACGAGTCCGGCAGTAGCGCCGCTGCTTCTGGTCTGCCGCATCCATGCCGGCGCACTTAAGCCGCGTCAGCACAGCCACCACAGCCTCGACCGCCGCCGCCTCCGCGGCGTAGTCGTACTCGCCGTGCCGCTCCAGGTCAAACGGCACCGCGGGCGGGCTCGCGCTCTCGGCGGCGGCGGCGGTCACTGCCGCCGCGGCAGTGGCGGCCGCAGCCTCTGCGGCGAGCCTTGCCTGCTCGGCCGTGCCGGCAAAGATGGAGGCGGCCGTCGCCGCCGCTGCACGACCGGCAGGCTCCGGCGCAGGGAGGCTGCCGTCCTCCACAGCGGGGAAGAGGAGGTCGTCGTCGTCGCCCCTGCCGTTGCGGATCGTCAGCCATCCCTCCTCCTCGAGAGCGTCGATCTCGTCGAAGAAGGCGTCCTCGTCCGGTGGTTGGATCAGGTCGTAGAGCCGCTGCACGCTGACTCCGGCCTCGCTTGACTCGCCAAGCTGCCACTCTGTGGTGAGGACGGCTCGCAGCGGACTTGTCGCTGCCGCAACCGCGACTGGCGCGCGGAGTGACGAGCCAGTGCCAGTGCGGCGTGATCCGAGAAGCAGCCACAGCATGAAACTTGGTGTCGGCCCTGATTCGGCGAGAGTTGGTTCGGCAAGAGGGCGCCACGCCCGCGGCACCGAGCCAGCAGCTCACCTACCTGAGACAGCCAAAGTATCGAAGGGTTCTGCGAAAAGAAGAATTCTTCGACACAAGCCTCTCTCACAGCACACTGGCACGACAAGGGCGCGGACTGGCGCGGACTGGCACACACACAGGCTCACCACCGGAGCCGCCTAAGCGACTCCGTTAAGAACGGCAATGCACTCCGCACCATGCACAATGCCGCTCTCCCCGCACGCTAGCTCGTTCACCGTCTGCCACGCCACGGCGGTGTGGAGGACGACAGACAAACGCTGCATCTGCAGCCCGTGCCAGTTCTTGGTGGTCCATGTGACCTCGTCCAGGTGCTGAGCGTGCGAAAGTTTGTTGCTGAGCTGGTTCGCCGCCTCCCTCAGGGTGCTGCGAACCTCCTTTCCAAAGCCTCCGAAAGCCTCAAAATCAAACAAACGTAAGTGCGCGCCTCCGCGCGCGCGCCCGGCGCTGCGCGCCCGGCGCTGCGCCCGCTTGCCCCTCCTCTCTATGGTGGCCTGCTCGCACGCAAAGCGCTGCGCCTCACGTGCTCGCAGGTCGATGTACGTTGGCGTGCCGTTGATGTCCTTCAACATCATCTTCCCAACCATCGACACTTGCCGCTCAAACAAGTCTTGCGACTCCCGCCTGCCGTTCTGGCCGTGCAGCTGGCCGTTTTGAGGGAAGTGCAGGGGCGGAGGGGGCTTGTCCAAGAACCACATCAAGGATGGCACGGTATACGCCATTCATGCGATACGAGTTCTGTTATATTCGCTCGGCCCAGGTGCCACATTTCCCCGGCGGGGTGAAGCCACATTTGTGAGGGCCACGCACCCCCCCCCCCCGCACTCGAGATGTGGCATGTGCATGTGTCAGTGTCTGTACTTGTGTATGGCGCGGTAAAAAGATGGGAGGAACGAGCCAAGAACCCCACAATGCCGTGCCGACTCTGTAAATACCATCCACGTACTTGTTTTAGCATGCCTCGCCACTCTCTCGTGGGCGCGGTGATAGCGAGCGAGCAAGATCTCGCGCACAGGACCAAAATGGCGAGCGCAGCCAAGGAGAGCTGGCTTAGCTGTCCGTTTCATCCACGGACGAGGCGTCGACCGGCGCGACCAGGTCCGGCTGCGGCGTCTTCGCCTCCTTGCCGTCGTAGCGAGAAAACGTGAAGGTGGTGGAGTAAGGCCCGGCCACTTCGTAGTTGGACGCGCTGCCCTCGATCGCACCCTCTGCCATGGCAGAAGTCTTGAACGAACCGGCGAGTGGATACAGGTCCTTCTTGCCCCACTGCGGCGCCGACGACGAGAAGGACTGGCCAACGAGCCCGTGGGGTAGAGAGAGCGGGCGGCGGCGTCACCCCGGGCGCTCAGGCTGACGTGTAGGGTAGCAAATTTTCGTGTGATTACTGACGTACTTACGCGTACACAATCAACGGTGACGCATTGCACGCGCGAACGCTGCTGGACAAGTACTCCAGGGCTTTTTCTTGGCGGGAAGATCGTGGAGGCGCGATCTATCTCCCCATATCTCCCTCTACAGCCATACAGTGTCCCCATATCTCTCGCGTCTGCCGGCGTTGGAGGCGCGATCTCCCGCGCAAGAAAGGACAAGACTTGGAGACAAACGACCGGGGCGTTTTGCCACAATACCGTGCAGCCAAGGCCCGGCGGCGCAGCATCAGTCCAGCTCCAGCGGCCGCTTGGCGGGCGAGACCGGCGTGCCGGCCGAGCCGCCGCCGCTGCCGCTCCCTCCGCCGCCCCCACCGCCGTCGAGCAGCAAATCGAGCGCGCCGTTCAGCCTCGCGCGCGGGCTGCCCTGGCAGCGGGACAGCGCCCAGCGGGCTTGCTCGCGCGGGTAGCCGCACGCCTCGAGGTTGCGGGGGGGGGGGGGATGATAGGGCGGGACTGTATTCCATTGACAGAGGCAGCGCTCGCGCCTCGAGGTTCCCCACCATCGCCTCCTCGCTGCTGAAATTGCCTACGCGGCGAAGGCAAGCACGGTTGGCGGCGCGGCGGTGGACGCCCCTGCGCTCCCCATGGCGAGAGCGCTGCCAAACGTGTCGTCGCTGCGCACAGGGAGGGGAGCTGGAGGCGAAGCGAGCGCGGCTGGTTGCGCCGCGGCGAACGGCACGAACGCGGGGGCGGCCGAAGCACTCGAGCTTGCGCCCGTAGGCGGAGCGAGCGACGCGCGGATAGCGGCACGCAATGCCTCGTCCTCGCCCTCTTCCTCCTCGCCGCCCCCACCGCCCTCGTCGCCGTCTATCACCATCGGCGCCTAGCGCAGCAGTGCGAGCCAAGGCTCCGAATAGGCCGGGGGGGGGGGTTCGCCGCCCTCGCCCATCCCCGTCGGCGCCTCCGCAGAGCGACCCGGCTGCGCGGGCCCGCCGCGCGGCTGGCGCTCGACCTGTTCGCAGCTGGAGGTGTGAAGAGACGCTGTTCACAGTGATAAGGGCCCACCGCGAGACTGGCGCTCGACCGCCGCTCGCCCCTCCCTCTCCTGGGCCTGCGACCTCTCCACCGCCCGCGACCTCTCTACCGCCTCGCACCAGCTCGGCTGCCTAGGGGGGGACGGCGACGAGAAGCTTCACGGAACCGTCCTCTCGACCTCGCCTAGACCTAGCTCGGATGCCGCAGCTGCTCTCCGCCGCTCGCACCGCCACCGCCGCTGCCGCCACCGCCGCTGCCGCCGCCGCCGCTGCCGCCGCCGCCGCTGCCGCCACCGCCGCTGCCGCCGCCGCCACCAGCTGCCCCACCGCCGCCCCCCGCCGAGGAGGAGGAGGGCTGCCTCCGCTTCCACGCCTCCACCGCCTCCAAGTGCGCCGCCTCGGCCGCCTCCCAAGCGATGCATCTCCTCTCCCACTCCTCCCTCTCGGCGAACCCCTCGGGGGTCATCATCGCCCTCAGCGCGGGCAGCCTACGCGTGGCGTGAACAGCGCCTCTTCACACCTGCCAGCTGTGAAGACTCTAGTGCGGGGAGCCTGCGTGGGGGATCATACGCCAGCCTCGGGGCGGCGGAGTGCGGTCTTGTGCAGAGTCTTCAGGGCACCGCGGGAAGACGAGGCGGGGCGTACAGTGACTACAACACAGCCGCATACGGCCGAATACGGCCGAGTGCGTGTCCCCTCGAGCGCGAGTTGGAGTACAAGAAGACGTATTCCGCTTCTAGGGCATGGCGCCGCTCCGCCCGCGCCCCCAGCTCGGAGCCTGTTCACAGCTGGAGGTGTGAAGAGACGCTGGTCACAGTGATGAGGAGCCACGCGCCCCCAGCTCGGAGCCTCGGCAGCGCGACGGCGCGACCAGCCCGCAGCCGCACCAGCCCGCGGCCTCGGCCTCTGCGTGCAGCCTCGCCGCCGCCACCTTGCCGCCCTCGGTGAGGGCGTAGAGGTGGGTCGCCCTGCCGTTCCGCCGCCCGCTCATCTCGCGCACGAGGCACACCCACGGCATCGGCCGCTTGACCAGCCCCTTGTGCAGGTTGGACCAGCCGTTGTAGTACCCGTGGCCGCCGCCGCCCTCGTAGATCGCCGTGCTGCAGAGGGGGCCGTCGCTCTTGTCATCCGCCATCGCCATTAGCTCCTCCTTTGTGTGCGTGCCAAGCGGGGCTGCGGCGCCGCCGCCGCCCGCCGCCGCGCCCGCCGCGCCCGCCGCCGCCGCCCTCCTCGCCGCCCGGTCCATCGCGACGAGGAAAGCAAAGTTGGCGGACTGGTCGCGCGGGAAGGGCTGCTCTGTCGAGACGGACGGCGGGCGCGCCGGAGGCGCCGCCTTGTGTCCGCCGCCGCGGCGCGGCGCTTTGTCAACGCCCGCCTTTCCTCCCCCGCCCCTGCCCGCCCGCCCGACCCGCCCGCCTCCCTTGCCCTCCGCCGCCGCCGCCGCCGCCCGCCCCGCCCCACCGGCCGCCCCGCCGGTCGGCTTGGCCGCGCTGAACGCCTCGTGTAGCGAGCGCTGGCGCGGCTTGCTCCCGCCTCCGCCCGCCGCGGCTCCGGAGGCAGAAGTGGCAGCGGTGGCAGCGCGGGCGGCAGAAGGGCTGCCCGCTCTCGAGGTCTCGCACGCCGCGGCGATCGCCTGAGATGTGGGGAGATGTGGGGAGATGTGGGGAGATGTGGGGAGATGTGGGGAGATGTGGGGAGAGGTGGGGAGAGGTGGGGAGATGTGGGGAGATGTGATCTCACCTGGTCGAGCAGCGACGCCTCCGAGTCCGAGTCGCCGCCCGAGGGAGACGCGTGTGCCGGCGGTGGTTGGACCTCCGCCAGCTGCTCCGCCCGCGCCGTCGGCGGCGTGGGCGGCGGCTCGGCCGCACCTCGCACGGGGCTCGCGCGTGTAGGGCTCGACGCATGCGCGCGAGGCTCCGGCCGGCGAGTCTGCTGCGGCTGCTGCGGCCGGAGGAGCTGCAAGCGGCGCTGCTCGGCTGCGAGGTGTGCCGCCGTGTGCGCGATGCTCGCGGTCCGCGTGACCTTGTACGTCGCCTCCGCCCTCCTCAGCTCCTCCTCGACCGCCGCCACAGTCGGCCAGCCGTCTGTTGGGCAGCCACCCACGCCTCCGCCGCCGGGAAGAGCGGCGCAGGCGGCGCATGTATGCTTTGTCTTGGACACGTCCCCTTCGAGCAAGTACTCGATGGTGGCGGCGCCTCCAAACTCGGAAGCGTTCCGCGCCTCCATCGCCGCCTGCTGCCGCCGCCAGCGCCCGTCGCGCATCGAAGCGCTCACGTCGAGGCATCCCTTCCGCTCGACAATCAGCGGCAGCACGACCTCGTGGGCGGCCGGAGACCCGTCGGCCAGCACCCACTCGTAGTCGCCGTGCCCGCTCGGCAGCCGGCGCGTCTCAAACCGGGCTCCCTCCCTGTCGAGGGCATCGCACAGCTCGGCCATCTTGCCGCACGACGAGCCGCCTCCCTCCCGCTCGTCGACCAGCAGCAGCACCACGCCGGCCTCGCCCGGCTGCACGCGGCGCGAGGAGCGGAGGGGCGCCGCCGGCGGCGCCTCTCCCTCCCGAACCAGCGCCTCGGCGCGCGCGCGGCCGGCGGGGAGCAGCTCGTACACCACGCCCGAGGGGCAGGCGCCCTTCCTCTTCCGCTCCTTTGCGTAGCCGAGCGTGAGCAGCGCCGGAAGCTGCTGCAGCGAGGCGCAGCGCAGCGCGCCGGCTGGCGCGGCGAGCTGCTCCTCCAAGCTGCAGAAGGGTTGCTCGCACAGCGCGCGGGCGCGGGCGATCAGCTCGCCCTTTGGGCAGAGCGGTGTCCCTCCGCTCGCTCCGCCCATCGCCTCTGCGTGCCGCAGCAGCGCGACGAGGAGGGCGGCGGATGGGGAGCAGAAGGTGCCGGCGGGAGGCGGCGACGCGTTCACGCGGCTGTTACCGTCCACCTGCCGAAGCCACTCCTCGGCCGCCGGCCCCGCCCCGCGCAGGCACCGCAGCACGGTGTGCCGGTCCGGCAGCGCGCCATCGTGCAGGCCGATTCGCGCGGCGAGGCCGCAGATGTGCTCCCAGCTGCGCGCCTCGTGTGCGCGGGTGAGGCCGTCGGCGCGGGCGCGCAGGCCGCGGACGTAGGCAAACCGGCGGTCCGCGTAGCGTGCGCCGGAGGCCATCGGCGGCTGCCGGGGATGAGGCTGAAGCTGGAAGCTGAACGGGGGCTTTTGGGCTCAAGCAACCGGCAAGGAAAGAATTTTTCGCGCGCACAAAGCGGCGAGTCGCAATCTACCCTTATAAGTCTCTCGTGTCCGCGCCGACGCTCTTGGTTTAACCGTAGAACGTCCCAGCCGAAATCCGCCCGCCACGATCGATCAGTCCACAATCGTCGGCCCGCAGCGACCCGCAGCGATGGATGCCGCCGCCCCCCCGCCCCCTGCGGCTGACGCGCCGATGCACGACCGGCCTCCGTCGGATGGCTCTCCGGCCTCTCCGGCCGCTGACGCGGCCGCCCATGCTGCTGCCGATCCGGTCCCTCTCACGCTCAGCGATATCCGCACAAGCTACGACAACTTCGAGGTCGCCGGCTTTGGCCAGGTGCAGCCACTACCTGCTTGCCTCCATGTTCACGCTTCGCGCCCCTCCCCCCCCTCTGACGCCGCCGTATGACCGTAGGTGAGGGGCACGACTACCCGCCTGGAAGGCGCTCTCATCAGCAAGTCACCCAGGCACCAACTCCTGGGCGTTTACGCTTGACTACGAAACCATGCAGTGGATGCAGCTCGATCAAAACGGCGACGCCAACAGCTGGTCCCTGGGCGAGTCCTCGCCCAGGATGAGGTGCGAGTCATGATGCTCGACCCAGCGTGCACCAAGTCGCTCACATTCCGTGAGTTCGTCAACGGGCCGATCATCTCTCCAAGTCGACTGCGATCTCGGACTCCGACAACTGGACTGGTGCACCAGCCGCGGAGGACGATGGCTCCCTCGACGACATCCCTTCATCGACGGACGCCTTCACCGCCGCCGGCCCTGGGCCATCCAGCGCGGCCTCCGACGGCCTGCACGTGATCGAGCGGGTACAGAAACGGTGGCTGCCCAGCTCACACCCTAATCGATCTGCCTTAGGCACGGAGCCAACGGAGCCATCGCGCATGCCCGCATCGCGTGCGGCTTCGAGGTCTCCCGCCGAGACCGGCTCGGCGCGGCGCGTGGCCGCACGCCGCCGTTGAAAAGGCGAGATAGGACCGAGGGGAGAGCGCCGGCCACATCGAGCGAGCGCTGACGTGTAAGGTGTCTGTGCTGCTCCGGTGTGTGTGGGATTCTGCCTCCCCCCCATCTGTGCGGCGAGTTGTTTGCGGCGCGATGCCCGATTGTGCGCGATAGCCTCCCATTGTGCGTGGTGTGTCGGTTGTCGGGGTCGTCCGGAGCGTGTGGCGGCGCCGTTGCATGCAGCGACTGCTCCACGTGCCACGACTGCTTTGACTGACGTGACTGACTGATGAGACATGAGAGAGGGTTACACCAATCCTCGCTACCCAACGCGGCCAAAGGATATCCACCTCGAGAACCTCGAGAACATGAGAGCTGATGGATGATCTCCGACAACCCAAAACCAAACAAAAAGCAGATCCAGCGTCTCTCACTGTCCGAAACAACAGACGGGTACCGCGGCAGGTCCCACACTAGTTGTAGTGTTAAGACGCTGACCGATCCCGCATACCGTTTTGATATTTCCCGGTACGTTAAACGTCAGCTGTCAGCCGAGAGAGAGGCAATGGCGTCCTCCGCCCGCAAGCGCGCCCGCACCGGCGGCGGCGAGGAGGACAAGGAGCCCGTGCCGGTCGCGGCTGGCTTCGAGGCGCCCATCTTTGGCGCGCGCGTCGTCGGACAGGTCACCACGCTGGCGCTCGAGGGCGAGGACGGCCCTCTATCGCTCGGTGAGGTCGGCGTCACGAGCGACCACGCGGGCGCCTGGTACGTCTCGACCAAGGACTCGCTGCTGCACGTCTCGGCGGCCGGGCGCGTGCGCCGCGTGGCAGCCTTGCCGGCAAGTGGAGTCAACAGCATCGCAATCAGTCCAGACGGGAGCGCGGTGTTTGTGGCGGACTGCCGCAACCACGAGATCCGGCGGGTGGAGGTGGCGACTGGCGCGGTGACCACGCTTGCGGGCAGCGGCGAGAGTGGCGACGCGGATGGCGTGGGCGACGCGGCGCAGTTCTGCTACCCAACTGGCATCGCCATCAGCCCGGACGGGAGCGCGATGTTTGTGGCGGACCACTACAACCACAAGATCCGGCGGGTTGCGGTGGCGACTGGCGCGGTGACTACGCTCGCGGGCAGCGGCGAGGAGGGCGACGCGGCTGGCGTGGGCGACGCGGCGGAGTTCTACTACCCAGGTGGCATCTGCATCAGCCCAGACGGCGGCGTGCTGTTTGTGGCGGACTCCAGCAACCACAAGATCCGGCGGGTTGAGGTGGCGACGGGCGCGGTGACCACGCTCGCGGGCAGCGGCGCCAGTGGCAGCGCTGACGGCGTGGGCGACGCGGCGGAGTTTGACAGCCCCTACGGAGTCGCCATCAGCCCAGACGGTGGCGCTGTGTTTGTGACGGACCATGACAACCACAAGATCCGGCGGGTGGAGGTGGCGACGGGAGAGGTGACGACGATCGCGGGCAGTGGCACAGAGGGCAGCGCTGACGGCGTGGGCGACGCGGCGGAGTTCAGCTACCCAACTGAAGTCGCCATCAGCGCCGACGGCAGCACGCTGTTGGTCACTTCGGACGGTGGCCTCCGCCAGGTCTGCGTGGCGGCGCCTCCTCCGCCTCCCTCCTTTGCCCCGATCGTCGTTCCGCCTTCCACCATCCTGGCTGACCTCGCAAAGACGCGGGGCGACGCCTCCCTCCCAGAGGGGAAGGTCACCTTCCTGGTCGGCGACGACGAGGAGCGCGTCGAGCACGTGAGCAAGTGCAACCTCTGCGCCCGGTCCCCGGTCTTTCGGACCATGTTTGGCATCGGCATGAAGGAGCGCGACGCCGCCGAGGTCACGGTGGCTCACACCGACCTCGCCAGCTTCACCGCCCTCATCGACTACCTACTCTCCGACCAGTTCGACCTCGGCGAGGAGGAGGGCAGGGCGCAGCGCGCGCTCGACCTGCGGGAGCTGGCGCAGATGTACCAGGTGCCGCGCCTCGAGCTGCTCTGCGCGCAGGCGCTGCAGGAGAGCGTCGCGCCGGCGACCGCCGTGCCGCTGCTCGAGGCGGCGCACACGATGGGCGACGGGCGCCTCCTCGCGCAGTGCCGCCGCTACGTGGCCGACCACGCCGCCGAGGTGCGGGCGAGCGGCGGCGTGGAGCAGCTGCGCGACCTGGGCGTGGCCAAGGGGCTGCTCGGCGACGCGCTCGACCAGGTGGCGGAGCTCAAGGGGACGGTGGCGGCGCGCGACGCGGAGCTCGAGAAGGTCCGGGCGGTGAGTGAGTGACCCGTTCGGATAGCGGGTTCGGCCCAGCGCACAGGCGATCTCGCTCACATGGTATTTTGCAATATATGTGTACGAAGGTCGTACCTACGTCGCGCGTGCTGTGTTCGGTGGGAGCTGAGCGTCCAGTAAGGACTGTTGAGTGTTGTACGGTTGTGGGCGCCCCCGGGCCCACGTGCGGACGTGGTCGCCACCGAGTCTCGAGTGGTGAGGCAGCAGAATGCTAAAACAAGTACGTGGTTGGTTTTGACGCGCTCGACAAGCAAGCAAGGCGCCGCTGAAGAAAGGGACGGTGTCGGTGGCGGCGCGCGAGGCCTTAGTTCGGAGACTGTTCGCGGAAATGGACATGCGACGGTGTATCATTCACTTTATGCCACCGTTGCATATCCTGCGACGGTGTATCACATTCACTTTATGCCACCGTTGCATATCCGGATATGAACGGTGGCATAAAGTGAATGATACACCGTCGCAGGACAAAAGAAATCTGCCTATCTGGACTTGTGTCCCGGGAGGCACGCCGGCGGAAGGGCTCGTCTTCGCGGGGCGGGGTGCGCACTGCGCGCCGCGAGGATGAGGAGCAAGAGCAAGGGGAGGGTTGGGAAGGGGGGGCGAGGCCGGAGGAGTATGACGGCCTCTTCGACGGCCCATAAGGGGCCGTTGTCTGCTGTGCCTTTTGTGGTGCTAGTTCGTGCCAGTCTGCTGTGAGAGGGGCCTTCGTAGAATTCTTATTAGTGGTCCAAGTCACCGAATCCGGATTGGGCCCGCGTCAAAGAAACGTGATCCAACTTGTCCGAGACGCAGACTCCGGGACGAAGACGCCTCGTTCTTCGGCTCATGCCGCCGTCGCCGCCCAGCCGAGCCGCCGCTGCCAGCCCGCCGCCAGCCGGCAGCGCCTCACAAAGCCCCCGTCCCTCGTCGGCCGAGGCGCCTCAAATCCGCGCCAAGCCAGCCGCGCCGCCGCCTCTCGTGGCCGCAAAGTCGGCGATCGACGTCTTCCGAAAGCTGCGTGGCTTCCTGCGCCGCACCTCGTCCGAGCGCGTCAGCCCTCCCGACTCCGAGCTCGACGAGGGTTCCTCCACCTCTTTCAACGAGCTCTCGGCAGAGCGCACGTGGGAGAGACTATCGCGAGCGCCTGCGCCGAACCTAGCCCCTCCCGACGCCCTTCCGGTGGACCTGGGCGTGGGCAACGGGACGGAGTGGACACGCATCGGCGGCGGCGACTACGTCACCACCTGCACGCACCGCGCCACGCGCCGCAACGCCTGCGTCAAGGCGACTCGCGATGCGGCCGCCGCGGGCCGAGAGGCGCAACTTTTGAGCAAGGTACGCTCCCCCGCGGTGCCCGAGCTGCTGGGCAGCGCGACCTTCGGTTCGTGGCACTACCACGCCGTCGCCCTGGCCCCGGACCACCTCCCGTGGCTCGACGGCGACTGGATCCCGAGGATCGCGCGCGCGGCGCTCGACGACGCCACGTCATCCGAGGAGGACGAGGAGAGCCTCGGCTGCGCGCGCTCGTGGCTGGGGCTCGACCCCGCGGTGCGGAGGGAGGACGTCGCGGCGCTGCTCTCCCCCCCTCTCACCGCGGCGCAGCGAGCGGTGATCTTGCGATGACATCTGTACCTTTTGATCTTTTGTGTGATGCGCACATGCGCTCTCCTATACTTATCTCATATGACATATCTGCGCTGTCGCGCCGTGGGTAAATAAATAAATAAATAAAACGGACACCTCTCTACTGTGAGATGGGTAAAAAGGAACAGGTCCCCCCCGCCCTTGCGATCTTTGTGCAGGGGTTCTTTGTGGGTGTGGTCGGCGCGCCGTGGGAAGGTGGGTAAGGTAAGGTAAGGTAAACTTCTCCACACACACACGAGGTGGTGGGGCAAGGGGGGAAGGTGGGTCAGTCTGGGTGTATGTCGCCTAACTTTATGTCTCGTCCCGGCGACCCGGCGGCGGCTGGCGTGGCACTCTTTTGTTGATCTCACATAAGCAGACACACCGCTGAGCGCTGTCAAGCGCTTCGGCTACGGCTTGACACCGTTGTTGTCTCCGTGGCCTGTCGCTGTCCCTCGCCCTGCTCCCCTCTCCTCTCGCCGTCCCCGCGACCGCACGCTGGCTCTCCCGACAAGCTCACAAATAGAGCCTCCTACGTACGAGCCGCCTCCCGCGCGCTCTCTCCCGCCCCTGCCGCCCCCGCCCCGACCGCCTTTCTCAAGAAGAGCATCTGCCGCTGCTTGTTTGTCCGGTCCGGCGGCCGGTTCTGCAGGTAGCAAATCTCATAGCCAAGCCGGTCGTACAGCCGCCGCGCGCCAAAGTTTTGCCGGTCGACCTTGATGAACAGCCGGTCAAAGCCAAGCTCCACCGCCGTGCGCTCCGCCTCCTCCACCAGCGCCCGGCCAAGGCCGAGCCGCCGCGCGCCAACCCTGACGGCGACGTTGGCAATATAAGGGTACATCGGCTGCTCGGCAGCTGCAGCCGCCGCCGCCGCCGCTGCCGTCGCCTCCGCCGCCACTGTCGCCGCCTCCGCCCCCGCAATCGCCTCCCCCGCCGGCTCCGCCGGCTCCGCCGCCGCGGCGCGGCCCTCTGGCGGCGGCGGGAGGAGGCCCAGCTCAGCAAAGCCGAAGAGGCCGTCGTCCACGCCCTCAAAGAAGCGGCCAGCCTCGGCCGCGTCGCGGAGGCCGACAATGAGGGCATGCGGCTCGCCGCTCGCGAGGAGCGCCCGCCTCGACGCCGCCCACTCGTCGATCGCCCTCTCCCTCGCCTGGCGCTTCCAGCCGGGTACGGGCAGCAGCGGCAGCGGCAACGCGGTGAACTCGTCGACGCACAGGCTGGCGGCCAGCCGGACGTGCGACGGAGCGGCCGGCTGTATGTGCCAGGACAGAGGCGCCACGCATGAGAGGAGGCTGAGCATCAGCAAGAGGCTGTGGCGTGCGAGACCGACTCCCGACACCGACACTACCACTCCCACCCAAACGACTGCGTTCCGGCTCCTTACCGAGATAGGTGGTCTCACACATACCGCGTTGGTGTCCAGTCCGAGCCTGACTGTTCTTCACCTTCCTACATACATACATACCCACGTGCACGACACGCACAATTTGGACGGCTCCACCAATGCACGCGGCGTGGGATGCACGGG